CCGAACATTTTATTGTGGTACTTATCCTTACATTTTATTGCTGTTGCTTATCTTTACCACATTATTTTTGTTCGGAATGCAGCGTATCTGCCACGCAATTCACCAAAGGTTAAAGTGAATTTTGTTCGCCCTTGTTCACTGCATCACTGGACAGAATATGAGCCCGTCCCGGATCTGAAGACCGAAAGAACGCCACTGAACGCACGGGCGGTGATGGAGTACCCGTACAACCCGAACCGACCCGACGCTTCGGTCGGAAGCGGGTTCGGCGAAAATGGGAAGATCGAGAACCCGGGATACCCCGGGACGCGACCGCCACCTATTCGGCCCTCGTCACGTGCTGCCTCCTCCACGCGCGCTCCTGGACGCGCTGGGCGTGAGGACCCTCCACTTCCTCAGCCTGGATGTGGAGGGCGCGGAGCTGAAGGTTCCTTGCCGTTCCATCGCATTCAGTTTCGCGTGATCGAGGTGGAGCACCTCTGGAACGACGAGGGAAAGAAACCTCTCAAGAAATTCCTGTTCTCCCTCGGATATAAATTCGTCCATGAAACACGAACGGATGAAATCTTCGCCAATCGGCTTCGGAGGAAAATGGGGAGAAATGAGGAAAAGACGCATGATGCCTTCTCCAAGGCTCATTTTTCTCAAACGTTATTGGAACCTGATCCACGTCGGAATTTTTTAATACTCCATGTTGAATGCGCTTCAGGTGCCACGTCCGGCGTACAGTTGTGAAATTTCCAGGTGTATATTAATAAATAAACGGGAAATGCTTCAATTTTTTTTGCATTCTATTTTTTTTAATCATATCTTTTTAACAGCTGAATCTTTTGCTTTCACGAGAACTTTCATAGACCGACTTCTTCGAAAAAAAAAATTGAATCGGCGGAACTTCCGACCACGCCGAGAGACGGGAGCGAGGACCACGCCATGCCAAGCACGAATGCCAAGCACGAACGGAATGCCAAGCAGCGCGTGACCGTATTTCCCGTCCAGCCGAAGGAGGTCAGTCTCCGTTCCGAAGTGCGATGGAGAGAGCGCTCTTCCTGCTCCTCGGCATTCCTTTGCTTCGAGGCCAAGGTGAGGAGATTTTCAAAATGTGTTTCCGACTGTAATGGCTAATTTTGAGCCATTAGGATCGGAATCCTATAGAATCACCTTTTAATTCTTTACACAACTAATTATATTTCTACTGTGCGAAATATTACCATAATTAGTTGTCACAGCTAATTGTTGCTATTTATGTGGTTGGATTACATCTCGGTAAAAGCGAGATGTTAATTGCGTGGTACATTAAAATCGACTGAAGACGGAGTTCATCAGCATGTCGGTCGCTCAAAGCGCGTCAATTCCCCCCGTTCCTTTCTTTCGCTGACCCTCGGAGACTGCGGGCTGGAGGGGGAGCGGAGCCGGATCGTGAACGGGACCTCCGTCCCCGACGGGAAGTGGCCCTGGCTCGTGAGTTTTCCCGTCCGGCCTCTTCAAGCTGGGCGACTTGGCGTAACTTTTTTTTTTTGGTTGCTGCTCATTTTGGCTCGAATCATGGATTTCGTCAAGTTTGATCATTTTCCCTGATTGCAAATTTTTTTGGTCCATAAAATGACGAGTGAACGTGCTCATTCCCTTTCATTATGTGAATAGATGAACTCAAAGATCATTAACTTCAATTCTCAATTAATTGATGAATTGATCATTTAATTCATGATCTGAATAATTTTTCTAAATTCATTGCCTGATTGATAATTGTTTCAAGTATCAATTCGGTAACGAGTTGATCGATCAATGAATCGATTGATTAATGGATATATCGATGAATCAAATCACCGATCAATTCATCCGCGAAATCATCAATTAACGAGTCGACATCGACCCCCCCCCCCCCCCCCCCCCCCCCCCCCCCCCCAGCTGTCGGTGGAGTCGGAGGGCCGGGGGAGCCAGGGGACGTGGTGCGGGGCCACCCTGATCTCGGAGCGCTGGGCCCTCTCCGCGGCCCACTGCTTCCCGCAGTACGTGCGAGTCCATTTTCCATCTTCTCGTTTTTTTTTTTTTTGCATTTCGATGAAAACAGTCGCGACTCGGTATTAGCTGCTGCTCTATGATCGTATCGATTGCACGCTTCAGTTGTTGGGAAAATATCTGACTGTAATGAATTTACGATAAATTTCATTATCAGGGTTAGTTATCAGTCAATTATCAAGCAATTATCAGTTAATTATCAGGGTTAGTTGTCAGAGTTCATTATCAGGGTTAGTTATCAGTCAATTATCAATCAATTATCAGTTAATTATCAGGGTTAGTTGTCAGAGTTCATTATCAGTACTAAGTTATCAGGGTTAATTACAATGCAGCACGAAAAGTGCCGTGTTATTTTTGCAGTGCTCATTTCTTCGGTTAAGGTTTTTCGGATTTGTGCTTTTCGGGGATTCGTTCGGATCAATCGATTCAAGATTGATTTGAATGCGTGCAAAAATATTAAAAATGTTGCTTGCAATTATCTAGGAGGAGCAAGCATCACTGGCGGCGGAAGAAATGGCAAGTTTCGATCCAGGCCCGAGGGGCGTGGCTGGCCTGGCCGGTCGAGGCCGTCGTCGTTCATCCCGGGTTCAAGGGTCACCACAATGACCTTGGTGGGTGAATGCATTTGGCTTCGTTCGTTGCAATTGGCTTTCTTGAGAAGATTATTATTAAACTTCCTCATGGGCAAAAGATACGTGTAAATTAATTTAGAATCCGGTTTTGGTCTCACGGGCAGATTGAAAGCAGATTGACTGCCACTAAGTCTGATACCTTGGTGGATGCCATGACGGATGCCATGACGGATGCCATGACGGATTGACGCATGTCAATGTTTTCCTCTTTCTCTTCTCAGCACTAATCCGTCTAGGGGCCAGGCCGATTTTCCTCCAAGACGCAATCGTTCCAATATGCCTCCCGAAAGCGGAGGGGACGCCGATAGAGGGGAGGCCGATGGAGGGGACGCCGATGGAGGGGAGGCCGATGGAGGGGACGCCGATGGGGCGGAACTGCACCATTATCGGCCGGGGGAAGGTCGACCCGGAGGATCCCGACTATCCAAAGCGGGTGCAGGAGCTGCCGATGCCGATTTTGGACCCTCGCCGATGCGCTAATTACTGGTACACCTACAGGATGAACCTGACTCAAGGTCATCTGTGCGCGGGGACTTTGGGAGGTGGCACCGGGTCTTGCCTCGTGAGTTCGTCGTGAAATTACCTTCAGGCAAAGATAAAAGTTAGCATGAATCATTGAATAAAGATTAACATGAATAATTACTTAATAATTATCACGAGCCAGTAATTATTAATTAACATGTTTAACTAATGATTAATTAGCTTAGTGTCATTGAAAAGTAGCTTCAATAAGCACAAGAAATGCATCAATTCGTATTGCTCCGCTAATTGAGCCCTTCTTTCCATGATCACTTGAAATTTCATCGAAATGATTAGTTATCAATAGGTAGCGCCATTTACCTTTCTTCAACCCCTTCCTGCCCCAAAATAGAGCGTCCTGGTTTTCCTCTCTAAGGTTATTAATAGGAACAAAATTTGACATCTCTTCCTCTTGCAGCACAGTATCACTCCGTCTTTTTTGTTGTTTGTGGTGCACCATTTCGCCATGAGAAGCGAAATTAGCTGTCGTTCATTTAAGCTTAGAGTGCTGGCTCCGGTCCCGTCCCACAGTGTTGCCGAAATTAAGCCAGATTCAAGACTACTTCAACTTTGCATTGGCATCTGGATCTGTTTTTTAATGTATGAGATATTTCGTGCTGAGTCATTAGTTGGTTGAAGCGGTGGTTAGCAGTGATCGAAGTGATGGGCCATGGAGATACCTCTCATACGGACATCCCTGAATTAACAGGATGGCGCGCACCATGGATTTCATGCTGGAGGCATTCCTTCCTCAGAGTTATTCAGATGGTTTGAGGAACTCCAGATAGGCATAACGTTCCGTGTCCGCACTGAGATGGTTCCTGAAACGCGAAACTGGTCGCAGATCGGTCTAACGTTACACAGCGTCTTAAATGTTTCGCGAACTTATGAATTGGCCTGCGATTGGCCTGACGTCGCACGTTCTCAACGAGATGTCTCGAAGATCACGACTCACCCTCACAGGCCTAATTGGCCCCGTATATCGAGAATTGGGTTTTGAAAGAAAAAAGGTTGACTCTTGACGTGACCTGAAGGCATTGCGTTTTTTAGGCCTCGACCTAACGTTAGTGAGTCCCGTAGAGAAGATTGGGGAGAGGAGTTGAAGAAAGGTAAAACCATTGAAAATAGGTTTTCACATTACTTCATGGATATATCATTTCTGCACGACAGGAATCGATCATGCTGAGGCATTTTCCCCCCGGCAGAGCAAAAAAATTCCCATTTCTTCCGCCTGTCAGAACCTCGCGACATTTTCAGGGAGATTCCGGCGGCCCATTGCAGTGCAAGGACTTTGAGACCGGGCGCTGGGAGGCGGCCGGGGTCGTCTCGCTGGGCGTGGGGTGCGGGACGCCCGGCTTCCCGGATGTCTTCACCGACGTCAGGCACTATGTGCCGTGGATCATGAGCACCATTGAGCAACACAGTCGGAAATAAAAATGTATATATATTTAAATTACATTCTTGATTTTTGCAGAACACGGTGGCAGAGATTGATTACTGATCGGTGAATCATCGATTGAGCAAGGAGATCCAGTCATTGTATGTCAAATCGCGTTCGAATGGCTGTGAGACAGCGATTGGAGGTAGAAAAGTCTGTTTAGTCAGCGGAATGTCGCGATGTCGGGGTCTGAGCACGCTCACTCTGACATACAATTCCGGCTCCCTGCCATGCGGCGAAGTTTGAGCGATCTTGTGGTTTGAGCGATCCCGCGCGAGAGCGATCTTGTGGTTTGGCGATGGTGATCTGAATTCCGCGGCTTCGTTTATCGCGTCGGGTGAGCCGTGCTACGAACGCGACAGGGACCGTGACTCGGCGATGCTGCCTGCCGGATCATGAGGACGAAGAGCTCGCCTCGCCGGATGATCTCGCTCGCCTTCAAGGCGGGAAGTGTGGAGTGGATCAACCGCAAGTGGACCAGGCAGCGACCGATCGTCAGGATCCTGAAGCTGGTGACGCTCCTCCTCCTCGCCTGTCCCCTGGCGGTGGTCGCCTTCGATTGGTGCATCACCGTTGCGGCCGTCCGCCTTGCGCCCTCTCTCGTTCATACATCCAATGTGGGTGAGAGATCTTGCGAAGAAGCGATAGGGTGTGATGAGCGGGTCGGGGTGAGAGATTCTGTGGGGAGAGGAGTAGAGAGAGAGATTCTGTGGGGAGAGGGGCAGGGAGAGAGATTCTGTGGGGAGAGTGGCAGGGCGAGAGATTCTGTGGGTAGAGGGGCAGGGAGAGAGATTCTGTGGGGAGAGTGGCAGGGCGAGGGATTCTGTGGGGAGAGGGCAGGCAGCCGAGTCGGGCTATTAATGGGCATGCGATGATCTATCACAATACCATGACAGATGGGTAATGGCCATGTCATGTGAGACCGCTTCATTTGAATGTCATAGGTGCAATGTAATGGAGAAAGGGAAATGGGTCAATTTCAGAATTGAAACATTTCAAGTTGTAATTTTTATTGGAATTCAATTTCACAATATAATGTATACATTACAATGTGAACCCATTTACACTAACCCTTCCCAGTACGATGGCTTGAGGCGATCGCCTGCACTTCGGGGTGGGTCGAGCCAAAATATACCCAAAAGTCATTTTATCTTCTTCGATCGATGCCTAACCAGGAATACTTTAAAGCCTAATATATCAGATGGGGGAAGAGTCACGCAGTGACAGCGCAGGCGACAGCAGAAAGTAAATTTCAGCGACGGTCTCACTTGAGAACATTTTTCACTCGAACGGACGCGATTGGTCGTTTCGACCAAACTGTGCGGTCGTAATTGGAGCATTTGGAATATCGAAAATTATATCGCAATGGGAACTAAGTGCAGATGGTGGTTCCAATCTCATGGCAGGAGGGAGGACCAACCAGAGGAGGGAGGACCAACCCTCCCTCTCTCTCTCAGACAACGTTAAAGGATGCCACTGGGGACTTTTCCTCCTCGAAAGAAAAAAAAATGAGAACGTCTAAGTCGGCAGAGGTGGAGAATTGCATGCCAAAAAAATTTGCAAGTACTACATTGCAAGTACTATATTGCAAGTACACGTACTTCAATACTCAAACCGAGGAGCCAGACGAGACACACGATGACGAATCGATCGTCCCCCCTGGGCCCAATCCCCTTTTAAAAAAAAAGTTGAACATGTCGAAATTGAAACCGCAAATCGACGGTGATTCACCGTTGAATCACCGATAACATTTTTGTACCGTCTTTGTTGTGTCATTCATGGCTAAAAAAAAAAGGGCTCTTCTGACTCAGATGAGGAAAAACGAAAAATCGTCCAGTCGATGTTGGTTCCACGTCAAACACGAATGTCCCTTGGGACTTCGATGGAGGGCTCTCAGAAGAACCTCTAAAAAAAATTAATTTCAATCCTGTCTAATATCTGCCTATTCCCTTTTTTTTAAAGATTACATCGACCTACAAATATATGACTAATGCATGAGAAAGTTAAAAAAAAAAAATTGCGACATCGCTCTTAACATAAACCAAACTATCAAAATTTTCTTTTAAAAAACTTCCTAAAGGACTAAAAGTAATGAGCGACGAATAACACGAGCAGGACTTCACATGCGCCAACAGGCGACGACTCACCGAATTCGGACGATCACCCTCGACCCTTTCCACCCAGTTGTACGGCTCGGGCGTGGTGCGGCAGGCGAAGGGCCTGTTCCCCGGGATGGCCCTGGACCGGAGCGGGGACTATGGGATCCTCCAGGAGGTTGCCAGGGCCGACGGGGACGCCGGGGGCCTGGATGTCACCTGGGTCACCCAGGCCTCCATCGACCACATTCACAGGGTCGCCCAGATCGCGGCTGCCTGGCAGGTATCGCTTCCACTTCCCCTGTCGGAGGAATTTTCTGAGCCTTCTCGTAATTTATTTCCTAAATTGTTATTATTATAATTTTTGAAAATTATTTATCCAAAAAAAAATGTTGGAAATCATTTAAATTAAGTCCACTTCATAAAAATACGAAGAAATTCACTAACGCACTTCCCTTCTCACTCCATTCATACATCCATGCATGGAACGCCTTCGATCCGAGTGAAACGAATCGATCAGGAACGACGCTCGCCCAAATGGCACAAGGGGAAAGGGCAAATATTGTGACTTGCGAAAAAAGGAGCGTGATGCAGCATTTCGGATCGCCGCAATGCAATAAAAGGTTCGGCCCGGAACTGAGCCCGACGAAGGCAATCTCGCTCCTATGGCTGCCCTGGAAATCCATTCCTTTCCTTCTGTGGGGCATTACAGGCGAAAAAGACCGGATATTCTGCCAGTAATATCCCGTTGTAATAAAAAATTAAATCTTCAAGGAATCCTCTGATGTAATATCCTAGGATGAAGCCGATAGACGTCAGCCTTCTTTTTATTACAATCATTACCATTACAATTATTGCAAGTGCTGTACAATCTCTGCCTCATTCTCTTAGCCATGTTCTCATTGGCGAATAATGTTGCAACAATGTTTGCGATTCATCATGAGAAAAAAGGTGCATGCCAATCGTATGACAAATTCGACCTTGCCATTTTTTTGTTGGCTCACTCTCGTTCTAATATTCTATTGGTTAATTTATCTGATTCTGTTGCGGGTGGATTATTTGTTTTCTGTTGCATTTTTTTTTTTTACAGGGGCCGATTTCTTTCGTGGTGTTCACGTCGACACCTGCCAATATTGGCATCACACTGCGGGTCATCCAGTGTCTGCGGAACGAGCATCCGCTCGTGTCGGAGCACGCGACCTTCCACATCGTCTTCCCCGTTCGCCTGATGGCCCCCGAGGCCAGACTCCCTTTGGGGATCGAGGTCACCCGTGCCTCCTGCCGGGACATCCTTCGGCAGCTCGCCTTGCACGAGGGCAAGGGGGGAAACTACATCCGCCGGGACGTGGAGTTCCCCCACAATCTCCTCCGGAACGTGGGCCGTCTCGCGGCCGGGACGGAATTCGTGTTCGTCGCTGACACCGACTTCCTCCCGAGTCAAAATATGAGGCTCGATTTCGTGACCTTTGCGAAGAAGGGGGACTTCTCGACTCGCGGTCGAGACAAGACGGTGTACGTCGTGCCGAGCTTCGAGGCCGAGCCGAAAACGGACATGCCGCAGACGAAGTCAGACTTGATTGAGCTTTGGAACAGAGGCATCGTGCGGCCGTTCTACACCGGGATAGTCATGCACCTCCAGGTTTCCCATTTTCTTATGTCCTATTTCTGTACCCGATTGCCCTTGCAAACATCTCGCATATGAGATACATGTGCAGCTTCTGTAGATTCTGAGGTCAATTTATTATTTGCTTGTTTCATGAAGTATCCCGGAGGTGCTGAAAAAACTCATAATTAACTCTTGAGCTCTCATGAGATCTTTCTCATGAGGTTTCTCATGTTTATCCTTAGGCTTCGCAACGTCCTTTCGAGGAATATGCGGATCCATCAGGTCTCACAACTCTCCCATTAGAAATAGATTTCTTAAGCTGCCCTGCTAGAAAAATGTCACTCAAAACTCATGAGTTCTCATGAGATTTCATAACTTCCTTATGAGTTTCTCATGAGAAACTTGTGAGACCTTCATGAGGCCTCTGTTCGAAAGCCTCATGAGGATTTCATGAGGTTGTCTTAGCACGGTGACTTCATGAAACTAAATCATGAGTTCCTTTCATCGCTACGAGTTACCCAATAATGATTCCTAGTTTCGAAAAAGTCTTTTTTTTTTCTGCCTTCATCATTTGTATCACTAGTGATACGTTAAGTCCAACACTTACATGTTCATCATGGCAACATGTATCATCGGGGATTGAAATTCCTGAAATAATCCAGGTAAATCATATGTGATATACAATTTACCGTGTTCGATATTCATGGTCAGAACCACGCGCAAATGTAAACCTGCTATAGTCTTGGGCTTTTGGCACGGCCATGATATCCACAGAAAATCGAACGGCAGCAAACACCTAAAATAAATTTTGCAAAAAGAAACTGCTAACTGACGCAGCCTCCCATATCTGTGAATTACACCGCCAATTACACCGCCAATTACCACTCTGCGCGATGCTCTCACAGGGCTGGACGGACTACTTGAGGTGGAAGGCGCTGCCCGCCGCTCCCGAGATGTCGGTAGGGTACGAGGTGGAGTACGGGTACATGTACGAGCCGTTCTTCATCGCGAGGAATTCCGCGCCGCTCTTCGATGAGCGGTTCCGGCAGCAAGGATGGGACAGGAATAGTCACGTAGGTCATGACACGATCGTGTTTTTATAGCACTATAGTGGGTAGGTCTGAACACAAGTCCATTATTATTATGAAAATTATTTCGATGATAAATTATTTCTATAATTCTATATAACTGTTATTAAGGAAATTAAACTTATTCTTCTTATCCGTTCAGTCGAGTACGACTCTCGGCCACACTATGGATCAGTGTTCTCCATGTCTTCCGATCTCTCACGGCTTCTTTCAATTCTGCTATGTTCAATCCAGTATCTTTCTTGATGGTAACCAGTTCCGGATCCGATGTCTCATTCTCCTCTGCCAGATGGTTCTGATGTTCACTTTCGTATAACTTCTCTGTGTACTCTTTCCACCGATCACGTATTGCTTGCTGGTCATGAATTCCTGGCCATTGCTCCCACGAAATGTTGCTTTCCGAGACATGAATGTTAACCTTGCCCTCTTCACATGGGTGTAGTGTTCTCGTATTATGAAATATTGTATCTCGTATCTCGTATTGTGAAATTAAACTAGGGAAAATTAATTCGAATTAAAAGCTACTTAAAAACAATACCAACCGTGAAGGAATACTTCTAGCGAGTTGTGCGAATAACTGCAAAGGAAGAGGAACTCACTCGCAAATTTTTGGATCCGCAGGCTTGTGAACTGTATATGGGAGGTTACACGTTCGCCGTCCTGGACAACGCCTTCATCGTCCACGACGGCTTCAAGCAGGGGAACTGGGAGACCAGCCCGGAGACGCGGGAGGACCTGAGGATCAACGCCTTCCGGAATCGGGGATTCCGCACCCAGCTCCTCCGCAGGTACGCTCGCCTCGGCCGGTCCTGCAACGCGTGGGAGACGAGGCACATGGAGCTCTGGCAGATGGTTCTTGGGTCTTTCGGTTGAGGGTGTTGGGACGATTGAGTCCTTGGTTCTTTGGCTTTGTTTTCTTTGTTGACAATAAATTGCAAAAGTTGTCACACTTATTGAGACGCCTTCGCTTTCGCATGGATTTTATTTGGTTCTGTCGGAATTCCATGATGGGCTACATCGATCGGGCAACTGCTGTTTCGTTCTCATTTCCTCCCATGAACTCGAGGTGAAAATTTTTTATAATTTAAATTGTTGAATGAAGATGCAGGGGTTGACATGAGTGCGGGTCTCATTGACCGGACGAAACTCCAACTGTGGCGATGAAATCTGGAGTCTACACCAGATTTTTAAAACAGAGACCGCGAGTCCACTGCAACGAATGTCATTGTTTTAGGTGTGGTCGGGGGGGGGGAAGTAAATACGGAAAAAAAAATACACCGTAAAAAAAAAATATATATATGTATCGCACGATTATTCGGGATCTGGTTGTCAAAAATCAAAATAAGTAACTGCCTTATACTCGTGGAGTTGCGAAAAGTCGAAGATACGTAACGGTCGCCACTGTCTGGGTAACGGTCACCAGTGTCACGATGAATCGAAGCTGCCTTCTCTATCTTTTTTGTCCGGCACCTTCGAAGAGCAAGTCTGAAAAGGAATTTCCACTCATCCTGCCGGTCGAAAACCTGAGGGAAGCCTGCTTTTGATATAATTTGGATGCATAGCTGAATGACCCCAACAAATACTTCGAGAAGATGTGACCATTACCCTCTGTCAGAGGGTAATTGTCACATAACACCATTCCAAATTGAAACCTAAGCGGCAGTGGCCCGAGACCGTCTGGCCGTGGAACGTCTGTCTCCCGCTCCCTGGGTCTTTGAGATAGGGCCGAGGGAGTGGGAGGTTGGCGGGAGAGTGGGAGGTTTGCAGTAGAGCAGAGGCCGTTGGGGATCGGAGTGGGTGACTGCCATGCTCGTGTCCAGGTCCCCACTACCCGATTTATGTCATGTATGTTATGGGTATGTCATGGAGTCGACGCCTTCCGTCACTGTCGTGCTATGCGCTGCGCCCGTCTACGGCGCCGTTTAATTAGTATGCTCAAGAGCTGGCATTCCGGTTCTTCTAGCTTGGTATCCTTACGAGGCGATCAGAGGATCGGCCACTTGTGTACTTAATGTATCCTAGCGATTATTTGGAATATTGCCGATCGCAATAGCTTAAAATACACCATATATTACGTTGATTTGGGATATGCATGCTCGTACAAAAAATACAGTCATCTCGTGAAGGAGGGTCACCCAAAAATGTATGCTGCACTCGACGCGCGGCTTCGGCTTTGAAACCGAGGCGAGGAAAACCAGGGAATCGACGCCACCGCGCCCTATCGATATCGATAAAGCCCCTCGCCGCTGAATGGAACCCCAACTAATGGATTGGTTCTCATCGGGGAAACACGCGACGGTGCATTCGCGAGGTCTAACGGATTGGATGAAGGCAGGCAATGGGCACCGTTCCCGTTCCCGGTAAAGGCAGTCACGCTACAAAATCACGTAGTGCATCAGCATAGTTGGAATCGCCTTCCTGGCCATCAAAGAGGCTGAGGTTCAAGTCTTTAAGTGGCCAAGGGACTAAACCTGACCTTAACCACTCTGATCCCCCACGCCACAGGGTCCAGCAGAGCCTTCTGCGCCAGCTACACCCAAATATCAGGCGTAATCGGTGTTCAAGAGGGGTTGAGAAATGTTGAGAAACGCGTTACCTCGTTGAGATCTTCAGGACGCAGATTTGAAGTTCCGGGCGGCTGGTAAAACCCATATCAAGTTCCTACGTGGAATGTAGGAAGTCAATGTTCTCGACTGGATTTTCATTGCAGTAGGTCAGAAACTTTCGGAGTACCCTGTAGGTAGCAAATCTTTCTTTTGTTTGCCTTTCGGGGCATTCAGGCATAGAAAAGTTACTGTGGCATGAATATTAATAGCGCAACCTGTGTGAAATTGTGGGACCCGTTGCTAGGAGTTCAGGGTACACCACACACATAATACACGTCTTTGATTCACGAGCTTTTCCCTTCAATATTTCCTTCCTACATTTCCACCTGCGACTTGCCCGTAACAGTTGCATCTATGCCTCGCATCCGCCAGTCGCCTTCTCTTCCCTCGTACCGTTCATGCGTGATCGCCCTAGTGATCGTCCAACTCTTTCTCCTCTCGACATTCCGCACATTCTCGGGTTGTGTATGCGAACCACCCATAGACAGGCTGGGCATGACCCCTCCATTGCTCAAGGCAGACTCTGGCCAGACATCCAATGAAGGTCAGGACCCGAGCGAGGGGGAAATCACGAAGAGGATCATCGTGCCGCTCTTCCCCGTTCAGGTCAGTCATGGCGAAGTTGCGCCTCGCCTTGAATATGGAAGCGGATGGTCGATCCAATTAAGTTATATGTGGCAGAAGGACTCATCTCAAGTGGACTCATCTCAATCATGAGAATCGCGGAGTCGAAACAGTAGTTGCTAACCAAAGAAATTGTGCATTTAGTGGTGAAAGCATAAAGGTAGGTAGAAGTATAGCTCAGACATATTTGGTAACTCTCAAAAATCGACAACTTTTTGGCGGACGGTCAAAATGTGCGCCTCAAGAGCATCGCAATATTAACTATTGAAATCACATTACAAATGAACCATTTGATTTGAACGCACTAATGAAGGGCGAGTTTGTTCAAAATCTGCTGGAAACATAAACCAGGCCCGAGATACGAAGCCTTTACGTTCCCAACGTTTCCTGGAATTTTCCACTTAGTCGAGAGCCGTTTTAAGCAAGCTCCAAGTGTATTGAAATGATTTTGTCGAGAAAGAATCCAGTCCTTCTTCAATGCAGAATCGATGCAACAAATTCTTCGTGGAAGCTGGTGCTCTGGACGGGAGAACGATATCGAAGACCCTTCACCTGGAAGAGACTTACAAATGGACGGGGCTTTTGGTGGAACCGAATCCTCATTTGTTCAAGAAGATGACGGAGCAGAAAAGAAATGCTTGGCTCGCTCCTTATTGTCTCTCACCAGAACTCGCAATCATGCAGGTAAGTCAGAGCTGTACTAAGGTTTGAACAATTTAAGATGTTCAAGAAAAATCGGAGGGCTTCCTCTGAGCTCTTTAAGTGATTATTGTCCTCTCTTTCCTCGTTCATTGCTCGAAATTCCTTGCGCCGAAAGGAAACCCAAAATTTTTCCTTGGTATAAAATCCTATGAATTTTACGGATTAAATACAAAACATTGTATTCATACAAAAGTGTTTCCCCTGAAAAGCGTTGTACAACTTAACATACCATGAGTTATAATGACCACTTGAAATGGGAAGAAGTAACGTGATCTAATTTAGGGCAGTGATGAAGAGAGAAACATTCATAGGGTTTTATAAGGCACCCTGCATATTACTGGAATATCAAGTAATTCTCCTTGGAATCAGGAGGTGATGGAGTATCCGTACGACCCGAACGATCCGATTGCTTCCTGGGGAGGGGGGATCAGCAAGTATGGGAAAGTAAAGGGTCCGGTAAAGAACGGGACTACCATCTATTCGGCGCTTGTCACGTGCTACCCTCTTCACATGCTTCTGGATGCTTTGGGCATCAAGACCGTCCACTTCTTCAGCTTGGACGTGGAGGGCCTGGAACTGGAAGTTCTCAAGACCCTGCCCTTCTATCGCATCGACTTTCAAGTGATCCAGGTGGAGTTTCTATTCAACGACATGGGGAAAGAACCTCTCAGGAACTTCCTCCTTTCTCTCGGATATACTTTGCTGAAAGAAGAAGGCGGCGAATTCATTTTCGTCAATGTGACGGCACCGGGTGTTGACGTTGGAGGAAGTGGATCATGAAGAAATCAGACGTTTTGGTAGATCCCGGTTACGACATACGATATTTAATTGTTTGCAAGAGTGTTCTTGCAAACAATGGCTTGTGTAAACGCGGCTTGTGTGAGATTCCCTATGAATACTATTTTCCCTATCTTTTAAACACCCAATCCACGAATAGAGCCCTAAGATTTGCCATTGTTTCCCCAAAATACAGTAATAATATACGATTGTTGACACAAAGACTTTTTGGGAATGTCAATTTTACATATTGCACGAAAGATCAGACGAATTTCTAGCATTGGCAGTGTCACGCGCCTGAGTTAATATGATTGAAAACTAGAGGGTTATGCCCATTTCGATATTGACAAACTGCCTTCAGAAAACTCGAATTGCCGAGGAATGTATTCAAAAGGCTTACATATGCACCAATATTTTAAGTTTTCCAGCAACAGACCTAGTTCATCGCGACAGAACTAAAATGAACAGAAGCAACATACAATCCCAATGGTAGTAATTACTGCCATTAATGAAACGTTATGGATACACTTATTTCGTCAAAGATTTTAATTCACAAAAATGTGAAGATCGAGAAAATTGGTGGAAGAAATAAAAAAAAGGGCAGATACATCGAGGGGAACAGTAGGTGACGGTGCGATTGAATTTTTAAATAAAACAATGAGTTCTAGTTCACTACCCTGAATCACGAAGAAGGGATACACCGACAAATGGCTAGACAAACTTCCGCTTTCAGCTGTTATAGCAAGGATGCATGAGACTGGTGGAAGAAGGATTGAGATATTCCACGATCAACCACAAGAACAACTTGATTGGTGAGGCCTTTCCATAAAATATTATGTCACAGAGCTTGCTCCGCAATCCCCCTTTATGGATTTTATGACAAATATTCCCTAAAATGTCTTGAGATTTCAAATGCATTAAACCCGCACAATAAATACGTTCATGTTTTCCTGAAAAACGATATACTATCGAGAGAAGATTTAAGTTACTTTTTATAGCGCTTGAAGTCTTGGTCAGCTCAGTTGGCTCAGTGGTTGGTGCTTGGTTGGCTCAGTCTTGGTCGAGCGTTCGTAGCGTGAGGACGTGTTGGAGGATACTCTCGAGGTTCTGTCAGCTAAGTCGTGAGTTAGTTGTTACCTGGCTACTTTGTAGCAGTATTCATAAGTTTTCTGATAGCTACCTCCAACTTCACATTAGATCAGTATCAATCAGCTTAATTACTTTAAGTATTAGCTCATTACTCGTAGTATTCCTTTTACTACAAGGACTAGGACAGTACAGTCTTACCGGGTTACAACTAGTGTGAAGTACTGCAAAGTATAAGTCTAAAGCAGTAGGAGTGTCAATAGGGATCAATAACATTAAG